CATCGCGCTCCACACTATGACCCACGAGAGTATCGCCATGGCGGTACCGAAATAGCCCTGCTGACCACTCTGCATATTGAAGTGGGCAGCACCCCGGGGCTTATCTGCCCACACCGTTCGTAAAAATGTAAAAAGAAGAACATCTTCTCCAGCGAAGGAAAAAAAAGACAAAAAATAGATAAAATTGAACATTGATGAATTGAAAATCAGAACTAAATGACTTTACAACCTTCAGAATAATTACAATTTTGGTCTTTTCTCCACAACAATGTGTGTGACTAAACTAATTATTCTATTCTGGTCATTTCTTTGCAAAGTTCACTTCTTTTCGTAATTGAAAAGTAACCTTGAGGGAAATAAAGTTGTACTCACAATGGACGTCGAGCCGGACCTCCGCGTCCTGGCTCTTGGTCGAGTGCGACTCGTGCATGGCGACGCAGCGCAGGGGGTTCCGGTGCAGGTCCCTGTTGGCGGCGATGCGCACGTACGAGGTCGCCACGAACAGCCGGTGGTTGTCCTCCTCGGTGGCGTTCGTCTGGTTGGCCTGGGCAGTGATGTCTTCCGTCCCTTAGGAAATAAAACCACGTGGACAAAATGAGTATGATGCCTCCATTCTTCGATTTAAGAATCAAGTAGTCATACCCTCAACATGACACGGTATATTTTTGTATCAATTGCAATACGCATCTGTGAGCGGATGTTGCAAGATGCGATTGTAAAACCCTAGAGTGACGAAATTTCTCATCTGGCGAGATTGGAAAATGGACAAGCAATGTCCCTTGCCATTTAGATAGAGTAGAACCTCTTTCTCGTTTCGCTTACCGAGCAGCCAGCGAATGTTGGCCGGCGGGTTGCCGAACCTGGAGATGCACTTGACGACGGCGCTGTTCCCCACGCGCACCGACACGTTGCGCCCGGGCAGCACGTGCGAGCCGTTGAACTCGATCCGGGGCGTCTGGGGCGCCACTGCAAAAGAAGAACGAAACCTTTAGTGAAACCGTTCAAATAGACGGGGGCAGACGCGCCCCCACGCAAACAAAATCCACGCTATCACTGTGAAAAATACCGTCGTAAATTTACGCTATATTTTGTAATTAATGTCTACAAAATATGTTGTAAATTTATGATACCGCGAACTTGTTTGTCGATTTGTTCCAATTCGATAGAAATTGTTTGTAATTTTACAATTTTGAATTGTACTTTTACGATCGCGTCATAAGGAAAATTTTCCCTTAAAACCTACTACTATATTTCGCAGTGAGATGCGTTAAAATAAATAAGGGCATTTACGCTTTAACGATCCGCAGTGATGTGGCAGAAAGCCACACGACATTTCTGTGTTTATGGACGCGGTAAAGAGTGGCTAAAAAGCCCTTCGCCCGACTCTGCTGCATATCATTCATTGCCCAACCAGTCTTTCTCTCTCTCTTCCACCCCTAGCCATCTCAACCCCTCCCCGTCCGGTCTCTTTCTCACACAATGGGCCTGCAGTGCGAGGCACACAAGTGCGGCTGTGAGTGTGAGCGGGAGTGCACGGAAAAAAATATGTTATCTATTCCAGCACAAGGTTTGCTAGGACAACTAACGTGTTTGCTGTCAGCGTGACAAGCAAGGTGTTCGACCGGGTACAACATATGTATTTGTTGAATATGCTTAATTCTTAGTTGTGAGAAACGAAAAAGTTTGTTTCTTGTAGCTAAATGCCCCTAAGCTCGTGTGACTAAATTTTCTTATCTGTGTTGGCTGAGGCATGTTGTGTCCAGCAGCCAACAGCTAGAACAAAATATGTATGGGGTGGGCCAACTAAAGATTAGCTCTACCAACCAATCCCTCGACAGCTACCGCGGCT